GTTCTAGAACTTTTTGAAGCCCCCTCATATCTAGCCTTTTACAGAAAAGTTTGCTGTCACATGCTCTACGTTGTCAAGTTGTGACTATTCCCTTAATTCAAAGATTTACTTCCAAACGATAGGCACCTGAGTATGGATTTTGGCCAAGTGATAAAGCAAAAAAATTGAAACCACAGAATAAAGTGTTCTGGTTTTTAAATAACTACATGCTGGGAATATGCAGATAAGCAATACCAAGCTGAGTGATTTAGGAGATGCAACATTCAATCAACTTATCAGAAAAAAGTTACCAATACTCATTAACGATAGGGTAACATTTCCACATGTTGTTGGGTGCCACTGAGTCACTTCTGACTCATGGCAACCCTATGCGAATGGTGGACATTTCAGCATGTCTGCAGGACAAAGGTAATTAATATACACTTTAAGCTTATGGAAAATTTAAGATGCATCGGAGAATGACAGGGTGTTTCAGCAAGTGGTTGACACACACATACACTTGTATGTATGTGTCTCCCAATATAGATATTCATATTTTTTTGGCTGTAAGGGACTGATAGGCAATTTGTCTTTTATTAGGCAGACTGAATGTCTGGACAATAATTTAGGAAGAAATCACAATATAATTAAGATGAATACTTTCTCCAGTAAATAATGCAACAAAAACAAAGAAAGAATGTACTGATTTTTAAGAGACCCAAGAGGCACAATGTCGTTACAGACAACCTGTAGATCTTTATGGGAGCAGAAAGCCTCCTCTTTCTCCTGTGGAGCAGTTGGTGGATTCAAACTGCTGACATTGCAGTTTGCAGCCCAACTCTTAACCCACTACACCACCAAGGTCCTTAAGAGACATATTGTTGCGGTTGCTGTTAGGTGCTGTCAAGTCAGTTTCAAGTCTTAAAGACCCTATGCACAATAGCATATAACACTGCCCAAGGCTGCACCATCCTCACAATTGTTAACATCTGAGACCATTGCTTCTGCCACTGTTCCAATCCACTTCTCCTTGGGGGGGGTCATCTCTTCCTTTCTTTTGCTGACCCTCCACTTTACCAAGTATGATGTTTCTCCAGAGATTAGTCTTTCCTAATATGTTGTAAGTGCCCTCAAGTCTGTTTCAGTAAAAGAGATGAAGTTTCGCCATCCTGGCTTCTAAGAAGCACTCTATTCTACCAACATAGATTCGTTCTTCTGGCAGTACATGGTACTTCCATATTCTTTGCCAATGCTACAGTACGACAAACTAACAGACATATTAGCCAAATGTACTTTATGCAGTTTTTTTTTTTGAGTCCTGACTTGAACAAAGCAATTGTACAAAAAAAAAAGCATAGGGGCCTACTGCTAAATCAGACAATATTAAGGAATTACGTTTTTTTTTAGAGTATTAATTGTATTATGGTTAGTTTTTAAATACTTATTTGCTAGTCTTGCATATGAAAATATTTATAGCATAATGAAATAATGCTGGGATCTTCTTCAAAGTGATTTGGAATATAGGAAAATTTTTATATGGAAAATAACTGAAAATTAATGCTAGACACGTTGTTGTTAAGTGCTACCCAGTCGATTCTGACCCATAGCGACCCTGTTTCCAAGGAGCAGCTGGTGAGCTTGAGCCACTGACTTTGCAATTCAAACAACTTTGCAGTCTGACGCATTAGCCCACAGCTGGACATTGGATCATTTAATATACTAGTCTCTAGACATTTATCTATGTTTGAAATTTTTTCTAAGAAACTTAAAGAGAGGGGATAAAAAATATATATATATATATGTGTGTGTGTGTATATATATATATATATATATATATATATATATACATACATACTTTGAAAATTTATAGAATCTACTTAAAGTTTCATTTTCTATAGCTATAACTATGTATTTGTGGTATATATTTTTTAAATGATTTTGAAATTACATTCATACATAAACACCATGAACAATGTTAGTATTTGTAACAGGCTGAAAAGCTAAGAAACAGAAATCCTTACAGATTTCAGACTGTTCAGAAACCACAACAGATAGAGGACACTGAGCTTCTATTGTTGTTATTAGGTGCCCCGGACTTAGTACGGACTCATAGTGACCTTATGCACAGCAGAACAAAACATTGCCCGATCCTGGGCCAACCTCACTACTGTTGCCGCGCTTGAGTCCATCGATGCTGCCACTTGGTCAATCCATTTCATTGGGGGTCTTTCCTCTTTTTCAGGAATGGTAATGGTTGAACCATATGAACATGTTTAATTAAGGCTATATACATGCTGTTTCAACAACTATACATGCTGTTGAAATGGTATTTTCTGTCATTATTCAATAAGGAATCTATATACCCTCCCCCTATTATTTTTACCTCTTTAGACATAACTTCTGAAATATTGTACGATTCATCTTCTCTTCCTCTTTTTTTTCTCATGACTATAAAAAATATGTATAATTTTAGTTTTGCTAGAAAGTAGAGCAAAAATATAAACATCAAAATGAAAACAAGGACATTTACCTGAATTGTCTCCACTTGTATCAACTGAATTTCTACCCTACAAAATAAGGATTTAGGATATTATTTCTTTTGCACCTTTGATATTATATATTAAAAGACACTGATTAATTTGTGATAAGAAAATGCTCCTATACAGTTGAATCACATCCACAATTCTTTAGTATTATTTACCTTGTGTAACCTTTTTCTGTAATTTCCTACTATAATCTAAACGGCCTACTGTCCTCAACATTTTTCTACTTAGCTAAAATTGATTTTACTTTGAAATAAAATGCAGATCTTCTGTAACTGCACATTTATGCTAAGTAAGTCAATAGATACGATGTGGAAGAAATATTCCTTTTCAGTACAATTTATAAACTAAAAGCAAATTAAAGTAGAAATAAAAGACTAAAGTATAATAGTGACAAGATATAATGGAAAGGAAAAGAAAAAATGTTAAAAACAAAGTTTCAAAGTAATTACTGGATGAATACTTTATCATGGATTATTGTTGTTGTTAAGTCCTGCTGAGTCAGTTCCTGAGGAGCAGCTCATAGATCTGAACTGCTGACCTTCTCATTTGCAGTCCAGGGCTGATTCTACAGCACCACACCAGGAGTCCTTAGCATGAATAGTGTTATTGTTGTTGTTAAGTGCCATAGAGTGAATTCTGACTCATAGCGACCCTGTACAGGGTTTCTGAGGCTGTAAATCTTTACGGGAGAAGAAAGCCTCATCTTTCTCCCGCGGAATGGCTGGTAGTTTCGAACTGCTAACTTTGTGGTTCACAGCACGATTCATAACCACTACACTATCAGAGCATGAATAGTAGGGAACAAATAAAAGAAAAAAAAATGGCAAGAAGATAAATAGGAGAAGTGAAAAATTAGAGGACTAAGAAAACTATTTCAATGGACCGGTGAGACAGAGTAGGAAGAATTTAGTAACTAGAACCTTTACAACTGGCTAAGCCAGTAAAATTATCTTTGATCAATTTTCTCATAATTTTATAATTTCTCTGTAACAAAGCCAATTATCAGGTACTTTATTACCACCACTAAATCAGCTTAGAATCAAGGAACCAGACTTAAATAAATTTCAGCACGCTACTTAGCTTAATGTGTTGCTATGAGATAAAGCACTGAACTACAAGGTCAGTGGTTCAAACTTACCTGTGCTCCTTGGAAACCCTGTACAGTGTTGCTATTAATCAGATCCAACCCCACAGCACACAACAACACAACTTATCCGATGAAATCGAGACATACCCCACACTTTGTCTCTTGGTATTCTGACATTTCCTAGTAAAGGCAATTTAGTGCAGAAGCTGCATGTGGGCTTTAACAAAGAAGGTTCCTGGGTTCAAATCCTCATACTAATGGTTCATAAACCCATGTATGTGTAAAATGGGTAATATTAGTAACTTTACCTAGTATAGCTTCTCTGAGGATTAACAGAATATATGTAAAACATACAATGAAATCTAAAAACTGAAACTTCTGATAGCTAGAAATTGACAGTAACCTGTTTTTCTAAGTCTCTTAAGTTTTCCATTATTGATGGGGTGAGGTCTTACCACTTTTTTATTGCTCTTTTTAGTGGAAAATATTAAGAGTTTTCTTCTCTGACAGGTTTCAGCCTTTTTCATGTTTTTTCACACTTTTTACTGTTTACAGTAAAACTTCTTACTGTACACAGTGCTTAACAAATGTCATGTCTGTTATTTCTCTTTCCACAACTATTATTCAGGCAATTTCCATCAAGGCATTTAACAACCCTACCTTAAAATCATCTCCAAACTATCACACATAAAGTTCAGGATGTGCCCAAATGAAATGCTCTAATGTTCAAAATGTTATTAACAAATACATATCAAGGGTTCCCATTTGACCCCACTGCTACAGGTTCAGGAAAGATATAAATTTAAATTATTGTTATTATTGTCATGGCTGAAAAAGGCTATCTACATTAAGAGAGTGAAGCCGCAATAAAATACAAATAGTAAACATTATGGTCTGCACAAGAAATTGCTAGTCACAGCCCACAGAAAAGGAACTGAAGATCCTTCCATATCCAAAACTGAGACACAGATTTTACATGTTTTTAATGTAATTTTTAATATAAAAGATAGTTTATGAAATAAAGTCAATAAACAAAAAAGTCAAAAGTACACAAAAAAGAATTTCTTTAGTATTTGAGGTAATATATAAAAATTACCTTAGTAACCTTTAAAGATTCCTTCTTCCTCTGCAATTTCTCTTTCTTCTTCTGTTCCTATAAGATAATGTCTTAGTGTCACAAATGGAAAATACAAAATATAAAACATATATATCAGCTCTCAAGTTAAGTTATATTCACAATAAGGAAATTAAATGAAAAAAAAAAAAAGTTTTCAGGAAACACTTGTGCTTCAAACCTTTATGGAACCCTCCTGTCATCAGCAACTGAAACCCAGACCAAAATTAATGAACCAAAGTTTTCAGACAAGAAGCAGCAAAACACACTAAACACTGAGAAAAGGGAAACAAATGAGGTTAAGTCTTCTCACTTCCAGCTAACTTCCTGAAAACAATTTTCAGGTATGGATAATGTAGGTGGAACCCAAACAGCCCAACAGTTGACAAGACAAAGTTTAAAATATAGGGCAGCTAGCAGTCGTTGGAGAAGGATATCATGTTTGGTAAGGTGGAGGGTCAGAGAAAAGGAGGAAGTACTTGGCCAAGCAGCAGCATCGATGGACTCAAGCATGGCAACAATAATGACGCTGGCCCAGGATCGGGCAGTGTTTCATTCTGCTGTGCACAGGGTCTCTGAGTCAGTACTAACTCGATGGCACCTAACAACAATTAACAGCAGTCACTAAGTTGAGTTTCAGAGAGAGTTGCAGAAACTAAGCTGAAAATCTTCAGCTAAGTACTGATCAGCACATGAATGGAAGGAACCACCAAGGTCAGTAAGAGAGCCCTTGGATCGAAGCAGGTAGAACAATTTCCCAGTCTTTTACAAGTGGTCAGAAATAGTTCAAGTTACCATCAGCTAAAGTAAAAACACCTCCTAACATACAAAGCATTGAGTACTCAGAAGAGGGTCCAAGTTACTCCAACACTAACTAATACAGCTTCAAAATTATTAAAGAATTGCAATCATTTCTTAGAGAACGCTACAAGTGTTTGCCTAATAATAAATTATAATAATTCACTCATTTTGCGTCTTCTGTATATTTCATTTTTATCATACAATGGTTTTTAAAAGGCTTAAAAAAGAGAGAGAGAGAGAAAGGGCTCAAAAAGCAATGTGTAAATCCCAAATAACTGTTAAATTTTAATGAGAGTACCCAGGGACTTGATGTATTTGTTCAACTTATATAACTTTTTTAATTCTCATATATTTTAATTAAGAGACAAACAATAAACACATTAAAAATACACATAAGGGGTTTTTCAAAAGATTCCTGGAAAAATGGAATTAAAAGAATGAAATTTTCCATAAACAGAAGCCCCCTTGTATTGATTAGATCAATGCAATGGAAAAAAAAAAAAGAATAAGGCAAAGGGGATCAGGAGTAAGAGGTGTAAAGTAGCAATTTTATTTAAGATTATCAGGTCAGCCCTTAATGACAAAAGGATCTGAAGATGATGATGATATAAGCTATGCAGCCATATGAGGGAAAAAGGTCCAGGCAGAGAATTGTTAGCCACAATGACCTAAAGGTTCAAATGAAGAAATAATACTGGAATGCTTTAGGGAAGGTTAATGGGGTTAGGGAGGCAGAGACATTATTGCAATATTGTAGGACACTATAAGGATCTTGGCTTTTGCTCTGAAACAGAAAAGTTATTGAAAGATTTTGAGCTGATAGATGACATGACCTAACATTTTAAAGTCATTCTTTTCAATGTTTGAAATACATTATAAGGAACAAGACCAAACTATATAGCAAAACACAAATGATTTCAAATATATAGATTAAAAGTAAAAGGCTGGAATAATTGATACTACATTAAAATTAATCAAAAGGAAGCCTGTTGTTGTTAAGTGTCATCCAGTCGATTCCAACCCATAGCGACCCTGTATGGGGTTTCCAAGGAGCAATTGGTGAGTTTGAACCACCGACCTTGCAGTTCAAACGGCTTTGCAGTCTGGTGCATTAACCCACAATGACACACCAGAGCACAAAAGGAAGCTTGGTGGTGGTGGTGGTGTGCCGTGGAGTCACTTCCGAGGCTCTAAATCTTTACGGGAGCAGAAAGCCTCATCTTTCTCCCATGGAACAGCTGGTAGTTTCAAACTGCTGACGGTGATATTAGCAGCCTGATTCCTAACCACTAAGGGGCAATATTCATATCAAACTAGACTCCAAAACAACAACAAAAAAATAAGGCCACAGAAATTGTTAGTGCCATTAAGTTTGTTCTGACTAATGCACAACAGAAGGAAACACTAACCAGTTCTGTGCAAAACTTGAAAATATATATTCATTTAAATTTTCAAAGGGAACATTTTGCAAGTCAGCTTCCTGCCTGCAGGCACCTAGCCTTTTTCATTTCAGGAGCCTCAGGCTGCTCTATCTCTCTATGCCATCTCCTCTGCCTCCATCTCTGCTATGCAGTTTTTCTGGTTAGGATCCCATGCTCTTCCCTCTAAAAGGTTCTAGACTCCTCTGTTCCTGAAATGAAAAATTAACTACTCCTCCTTTTTCACTTCACATCTTTTACATTTACAGTTATGACAATCACAGTCATTATAACAATTACTTACTATTGAATCAAAAAAAATCCTATCTCCATCCTCCGCCATCCCCTTTTCTCCAGACCCATATGGACAAAAGGAAAGCTATTCATTGGTGATTCTAGCTTACCACCGCCCCCTGCCATGTTCTGAAACTACTAAGCACACTCATGAAAGCCTGCAAGCCAGCCACTATGCTTCCATGGTGCTCCATTTTTTGGCAGCCAATGTCTAAGCTGTACATCCCTATCAACCCAGTGTACCGAGGGGGCAATCTTGATTCTTGATATGAAGAATCCTTCAGTTGGAATTTTGAGCAACTACATTTATAAGCAAAAGTCCAGTTCATCAAATTGTTGTAATTTACACTTGCTCCCTGTATCAAACTTCTTTATATGCATCTGATGGAGTTCTGATCAACAAGTCTTCCAAACTAGGTCAAGTGGGTACCTTCTGCAAGTTTAGGAGTTCTCACTCGCCTCCCGTCACTTCAGCCCAGCTGGCCACTTCACTCTCAATTCTAGCCCCAGTGGATAATGCACTATCTATGGTCTCCATATTTCACACATCTCCCTAAACTTCAAAGAAGCCAGACTTTGCTCTTTTTTTTTTAAATCACAAAAGTCAACGAGTGTCTATGGAACATGGCCAAATTCAGTCCGTGTCTTCATTGCTGCATTTCCCCCACTTTCACTCACAAGTGACCAAGGCAGTCACCAGAGAGTTTACTATCCTGCTCCTGTGTTCTCTTTACGTTTCTGTCTTGGAATGGGGTTTGTCCTGATGGGCTGACTTTTCATGGCTTGATGGCTTCCAGGCAAACAGCTTGCTTGTTCTTGTAATAGACAAACAGTCTGCTTTTTTTTTTTTTCCCCTCTCTCCTGCTGGTCTTTCTTTCAAGAAGTAGATTTTCTATTCCCTTAGCTGCTCCAGGTTGGTCTGCTTGTCCTTTCAAGTGGGAATGTCCCACCTCAGAAGGTTCTGGGTTGGGCTCAGGATTCCATCTAAGGCCCCTTACTCCACACAAAGGCTTAGCAATAAAGCCTATTTCCCCGGGGCAAATTCTAGTACCCCTTTTAGCTAATCCAACAACACATTTGTTGGGATGGCTAAAACTAAACAGATTGACAGAATCAAGTTTTATGAAGATGTGGAACAAAGGGCTATTCCACAATGCAGATGGGAATGTAAAATAGTGCAACCAAGTAGAAAACAGTCCGTTTCTTAGAAAGTCAAATACATTCCTAAGATATGACCAGGCCATCCTACTCCTATTTAGCCAGAGAAATAAAAGTCTAAATCCATATACAGATTTGCACATGAGTGTTCATACAACTTTATTTTTAACTGCCAAAAATCGGAAAAATGGTAATCTACAGGCTAATGTATAAACAAATGTGGTATAAATGGAAATATTCTCAGAAACAAGAAATAGGAAATTATTAGTATCCCCAACATGGATAAATATCATAATTACACCAAATAAAGGAAGCCAGACAAAATACTTATATTACAATAGTCCATTTGTTTAAAATTCTAGAAAATGCAAGCTAATTTAAAGTCAATCAATAATTATTTAAGAAATAAAAGATTAGCAGGGAGGGTGAAAAGAGAATTAAAAAGGGCAGTTGGAAACTTTGGAGGGCGATGTTTATGTTCAATATCTTGATTATATAGTGTCTTTACCTACATATAAACAAACATCAAACTCTATAAAACTGTACATTTTAAATCTGCAGTTTACTGAATATCAATTTTTCTTAACAAAGTTAGTTGAATCTAACAAAAAATTCCATTAGCAATATAAAATCCACAATTTCCAGCATCCAAAAATATTACCCATGACCAGGATGTAAGTAAGTCCACCTGTGAATGAATGAAAGTATTTTCATACAACAGAATTTTTAAAAATCCAATTGACAAACACAACTTGGATGATTCTCTATCTATGCTGAGCAACATTAGACACAGAGTACATGCCATATGACTTATACACTTACTGCTCTAGAGAAAGCAATATTATCTATCAAGTCAATATTATCTTAACTGTGCTCATGGTTACATGAGTGTATACATCAAATAAATTAAAAGTATACACTTACAAATGTATGCATTTCATTGCATGGCAATTTGTACCACAATAAAGCTGTTTTTTTAAAAAAAACAATGCCAATCACATATACTTACCTCTAACTGTTGCTGTTCCATTTTAGTCAATAAAAATTTGGAATAAATATTGCTTTTCTCAAGCAAATGCTGAAGTCTTCGGTACCGAATGTCTGTTGACTCTCTATCCCAAGACTTGCGAGCCTAGGAAAACAAAAGAATTCCATAAATTTTGAGGTACTTTGACTTTTTCTTATGTAGGGTTTAACCAAAATATTTACTTAATATGCGTTGTTGTTGTTGTTGTTGTTGTTGTTGTTGTTGTTGTTGTTGTTAAGTGCCATCAAGTCGGTTCCAACCCATAGCCACCTATATAGGGTTTCTGAGGAGAGGCTGGTGAGCTTGAACTGCCGAGAGCTTGCAATTGAAAGGACTTTGCAGTCTGATGCATTAGCCCACAGAGCCATACCAGGACTAAAGGAGTACAAAAGCAGTACTAGCTACTTTAATTCAAAGAAGTTTAGCAGTGTGAATTCACCCCCTAAATTAGCATATGCAGTTAATTCTGACTCATAATAGGCCTATAGAACAAGGCTGTAAATCTTTACAGAAGTAGGCTGCCACATCTTTCATCCATGGAGCAGCTGGTGGGTTTGAACCCCCAACCTCTGGGTTAACAGCTGAGGGCCCACCCACTAAGCCAGCAAGGCTCATTCTACTAATGTTAAAGATATATAAACCATACCAACTAGCAGTTCCATTCCTGTGCAAGCAATTGTGTTTGTGTGTGTATATACCATGGACTGCCACAGATACTGGCCCAAACAATTTAAATCAGAATAAGGCAATAAGAAAAAAGAATCATTTTAAAAAGCTCAATGGGTGATTCTGATATGAAGCCAGGATCACAAGCTGCCTTAGAGGATAATTTGAAGAGACTATTTTGGAAAATGCTGTCAACACTATCCTAACTTTCAAGACAGATATTTAGCCAAGAAAATCTTTTAACGCTAATTCTTTATCACCACCCAACCAAGTCAACAAGCAAACAAGTACTGAGCCCCTAACTACAATTCATTACATAAAGTCACCCTTTTTACTGTTTGTTCATTTAATACTATAGATGACATCATCAATGTACCTGAAAACGACAAACATTGAAAAGCATACATGTTGATTGAGTCAGTTCCAACTCAAAGTAGACCTGTGTAGGTAGGGTTTTCAAGGAGTAGCTGGTAGGTTTGAACCACAAATCTTGCAGTTAGGAAGCAGTCCATTGCTTATCCTACAGTGCCACACCAGGACTCCTTAAGGAGCAAACAGTAATGTACAAAATATAAATCCTGAAAAATTCAATGTATAAACAAACAAGGTTGGAAAAATCAGAGATTTCCAAAATAAAATGATATCTGATCTCTCTAAAAAACAATGAGAAAAACAGAATGCAGAGTTTGGTCAGGTAATGTGGTAACCCTTGTCTGAAAGCATTAACAATCATACCTGAATAACTTTTACAATTAAATAGACCCTTGTAGATTAGTTGTTGCTGTTGTTGTTAAGTGACCCAGCATAAGGTTTCCGAGGCTTTTTTAAAAGTTTGTGGGAGCAGAAAAGCCTCATCTTTCTCCTGCTTATAGATTAGTACACATCTGATATTAGTCTAGAAAAACTTATCCACGTTATCTATTTAGTGGCAGATTTTGCTTGTTCAATTATACACCAAGCCATCTGATTTTTAATCAATATAATTGGAAAAACAAACAAAACAGTCTAATTACACACTTCTTTCCAACCTCATATTTGGCAGTGATGGTAAGAGAGGTGTGAAAATTGCGCTACAAATTCATTTTGTAAAAAATGCCCTAGCACCTTGCTGTGTTAGCATGTGGAAATATCCAAGGCTTGGCATAAGCTAATTAACTTAGTGGTTAAGACTTGCCCTTGTAAATTAGTTATCATTGCACATTAACTTTTATTTCCCTAGATATTTTATAACATATTGTTGTTGTTAAGAGCCATTGAGTTAGTTCCAACTCATAAAGATCCTGTATAGTGTTTCAGAAGAGTGGCTAGTGAGTTTGAACTGCCGACCTTGCAGTTCAAATCAACCTTGTGGTTGAATGCTTATCCTACAGTACCACACCAGGACTCCATATTGTATATTAGCATATAATATAGAACTATATTCAGGAGCTCTAGTAGCTACAAACTGGGCTGCTAACCTCAAGCTCAAGGAACTCTGGTAGCATAGTGGTTAAGAATCGGGCAGTGAACCTTAAGATCAGCAGTTCAAGGCTACCAGCTGTTCTTTGGGAGAAAGAGGAGGCTTTTTGCTCCGGTAAAGATTTACAGCCTCAGAAACCCTGTACCGGATTGACTATGAGTCTGACTCCACGGCACATCACCATACCTTTCCATGGAGTCCTGGAATGGCACTGTGGGTTAATGTGCCAGACTGCAAAGCCATTTGTTCAAGCTCACCTGATGCTCCTTGGAAACCCTATACAGGGTCGCTATGGATCCAAATAGACAGTACTTCACAACAATTTAGCAACAATAGCTTTCCAAAAAGCTCCACCATTCTAATCCTTCCCCCATGCTCCCAGAATGCTCACTAATGCTAAACTTAAATCTTTTAAACTAACAATGACTTCTTTCAAAAGGAAATAGGGATGAAAAGTCAAAGAAAACAGCTAGCAAATGAATGTCAAAGTAATTCTCCAGGCTCTTTGCAAACCTTAAAATCTCCTCAGGAAAGGTAAATGGTTCACTAAGGTAGTGCTTCCTCTATACCACCCACAAGTATTCAAAATATATGCCCATAGGTATGCATTCTGTATCCTCCTCAAAGTAAAAGAACATTTATTTTTGCAGTGAGCTTTATGACTTCTAAAGGAAAAAAATTTTTTAATCTTAAATAGAATCTGAAAATTATTCATATAATTTTTTCTAGGGAGTCAGAACTTTTTGAGTATTAAGTACAAAATTTCACCAAATTCTTTCAATGCCTGTACATAAAAAAACTCATTGTAGTAAAAATGGAATACAATACTACTGGGGTTTAAATCATACCCTTGTACGGAGTCCTGGTGTGGCACTCACTGTAAGATAAGTAAAGGACCACAACCACAAGGTCAGTTTGAACCTGGTTTCCTGGGAAACCTATACAGGGCCGCTGTGAGTTGGAACCCAATGATTCAGAACCCCTTCCATGGCACTAACAACAATTAGAAGAAGGAATGTAAAGAACATAACCCTTTTGTTAAATGGAGGATTGTAAATGACTTTAAAGCTATTTAGTTCAATGAAGCAGTATCATACCCATTATCTGTTGTATTTAGTTCCCTTGAATCTGTTCAGACTCACAGTGACCCTGTATAGTTGGAGGGTCTGAACCACCAAAGTAACAGCCCAGTGCTTCTCCTACTGTGCAACATCAGGACCAAGACCTCATACCTATGACTCATCAATAACAAGCACAAAAAATGTTTATAACTCAGTCAAATGTCTGCTCGTAAGTTTAATTTAAGGTCAGTATAAACTGCAAGGCCCATGGTTCAAATTCAGTAGCTATTCCTAGGATCCCCTGTATACAGGGTAGCTGCCACTCGGAATCAACTCAAGGGCACTTAACAAAAAATGTAAGTTTTGAAGGAACCAGTAGTATAGTTGATCCATCGACCTGGCTGTTCCATCGGCTTTACAGTCTGGTGCATTAACCCACAGGGCCACACCAGGATTAAGCAGTACATAAGAGCTGGAGTCTGGATGTGGTACTGTAGCATTCATTAGGCACAGAACTGCTAATCTCAAGGTCGGTGGTTCAAACCCACCAGCCACTCCTTGGAAACCCTACAAGCTTGCTATGAGCTGGAACCAACCTGCTGGAACTTCACAAGATTAGTCTTTCTCCTGTTGTAGCAACTCTATAAGGGAGTTTCAAAGTGTTCATGGAAAACTGGAAATTTTCCACAAATGCTTTGAAGCCATCTCATATACTTCAAAGAAATTCAACCTGCCAAAGGATACAAACTGCTTTCAGTGACCACAAGGTAGACATTCTGTACAAGCAAACCAGGAGTACAGTAACTTACCACTGAGAAAGCATAGAATTTTAGCTAATGAATCTTCTTTAGCAACAGGCGGCCCAAGATAGCAAAAAAGAAAAGAGAAAAGCAAGTGGATCACTTAGATGGCAAACAGCAGTAAACTAAAGGACGTCCCCGACTTTGATTGAAATGAAATCAAACTAGTAGTCTTAGTGGGAGCTCCATGGCTTCACAGAAAAAGCACTCAACTGCAAACCACAAGGCCAGCAGTTGCAGTCCGCCAGTCGCCTGGGAGAAAGTTGTGGCTTTCTACTCCCGCAAAGTTTGTTTTGAAAAAGCATCGGAAAGCCTACACAGGGTTTGCTATGAGTCGGAAGCAAATCGCATACACTTCACAAGACTGCTCTTGGTAGTCTCAGGCATTATGACTGCAGGTTGGAGATGAACGCTGGCCAGAGGCCCGCAAATCCAGGGATGAACTCTATTTAAGGAACCCAGCTGGCGTGGCGTTGTGGTTATGAACCGCAAAGTCGGTGGTTCAAGCTCACCAGCCGTTGCTCGGAAACCCCAAGCAGGATCTCTGTGGGTCGGAACCGACGGGACGGCGCTGACCACCAACCATCCTGCGTGGCCTCGGGCCTCAGGACTCCAGGCAGAGGCCGATTCCGTCGGAGGCGCGCGGCTGACCCCAGCCCGTGGGGCTGCGGGTCCTGGAAGCTCTCCGCCCACTTCCTGAAACGGGGTCCCTCCAGACACCGTGTCCCCCGCACACAGCCCCTCCAAGCACCAGGGAAGCACGCGCAACCACGCGAAGTGATCGGGCCGCTTTGCCCACACCAGCGTCTGGGTGCTGGGCAGCGGCGGAGGCAGTTACCTTCTCCAGCATCTGACGCTCCTGCTCCAACCCCGCCGCCTCCAGCTGCTCTTCCTCCTGGAGCATGGCTGCGGTGATCATGGTGCACTCCGGCTGCTCCACCATCTCGAAAGCTGAGGCAGAGTCTAAGAGCACAGAAGGCACTGAAACCGGTGGTCGTTAGAAGAAACAGCCATTCCTCCTGCTCCAGCCATCTCCTCCCTGGCCCAGCCAGATGTGCTGGAGCCACAAGTTCAAATCCCTCCCGCGGATGGCGCCCCAGAGCTCCGCAGTACCTGCAAGCTGCCAGCACGCCAGGGTCTGACCTAAGAAAACTCAGCAGCCCAGCATCAAATCTACTGTGTCATGCAAATCTCCTGTGTCACGCGCCCGCGCCCCACCCCCACCCCCCAGTTCCTTTCCGCTCTCTCTTCAGCCCTGCCTGGGGTCGGCTTCGGCCCCCAGGTTCCGCTGCAGCCTCCATGCTGCCCCCGGAAGGGACGCCGCCACGCCCGGAGGGAGGCTCTCCTCACTCACCTTCGCTATTTGCAGGCTGCTCTGCTGGCATGGCTGGACACACAGCCAGGAAGCTGCTCCCCTCCTCTCAGCGCCAGCCACGCTGCACGCTTATTTCTCACAGGTGCCACCAGAGCTTGCCTTCGGGTCAGGGAAAAAAGCGCGCTTCTCGGTTCGCGGGAAAACGCTGTTAGCTCGCGATATTTCGTGTTCCCCGCCTACTCTCGAGCCCGCAGCGCGAGATTTGGGGTAGTTTGGTTTTCCTCCAGTACCAGAAGACGAAAATATTGTGAATAGCAGTAGACCACTGTCAGATAAAGTGCCCCAAAATGAGCCCCTCAGGTTGAAGGCACTCAAAATATAACGGGAAGATCTGCCTCCTTAAAGTAGAACTGACCATAATGATGTGAATGGAGTTAAGCTTTCAGGACCTTCATTTACTGATGAGGCACAACTCAAAAGGAAAAGCACTTACAAATATCCATTAATAACCAGAACATGAAATGTGTGAAGTATTAATCAAGGAAAATTGGAAGTTGTCCAAATGAAATGGAACACACAAGGCATTTGTTGTTAAGTACCACTGAGTTGATTCCAAGGCATAGTAACCCTGTACAGAGTTTCCGAGGAGCAGCTGATGGGTTTGAACTGTTGACCTTGTGGTTTGCAGTTCAGTGTTTATCCTGCAGTGCCACACCAGGAGTCCATCCTAGGCATTAGTGAGCTGAAATGGACTGGTATTGGACATTTTGATTCTGACAATCATATGATTTACTATTCTGGGAACGAGAAATTGAAGTGAAATGGCATAACATTCACTATCAAAAAGAATATTTAAAGATCCATCTTGAAATACAACGCTGCCCTTATAGGATAATATCCATATGTCTTACAAGGAAAATCAGTTAATATATTATTCAAATTTATGCACCAACTACTAAAGCCAATGATGAAGAAATTAAAGAATTGTATCAACTTCTGGTGTGGCGCTGTGGGCTAATGCGTCAGACTGCAAAGTCATTTGAACTCCAAGGTTGGTGGTTCAAGCTCACCTGCTGCTCCTTGGAAACCCTATACAGTGTTGCTATGGGTTGGAATTGACCCGATGGCACTTTACAACAGCAACTTCTTTAGTCTGAAATTGATCAAACACACACACACTGTTAAGATGCATTGATAATATTGGTGATTGGAAATGTGAAGATTGGAAACAAAGAGGAATGATCAATTGTTAGAAAATATGGCTCTGGTGATAGAAATGATGCTGGAGATTGCATGATAGAATTTTGCAAGATGACTTACTCATTGTAAATACATTTTTAAACAACATAAAAGGAAGCAATGAACATGGACCTTACCAGATAGAACACAAAGGAATCAAACTGACTACATCTGCTGGGAAAGACAGTGAAAAAGTTCTGTTATCATCAGCCAAAACAAGACCAGGAGCCAACTGTGGAGCAGACCATCAATTGCTTATATACAAGTTCAGGTTGAAGATGAAGAAAATTAAGTCAATGACAGCCAAAATATGACTTTGATGAGTATATTGCACTTGAATGTAGAGATCATCTAAGGACAGTTTTGACAGGTTGAACACTAATGATCAAAGACTAGTGTGATGATGTCAAGAACATCATAAATGAAGAAACCAAAATGTCATTAAAAAGACAGGAAAGAAATGACCAAACTGGATGTATGTCAGAAAAAACTTTGCAACTTGTACTTTAGTGTAGTGTGGTACAGTGAATTATTACTCTTCCACCAGAGTCTTTTCAACTCCTACCAAATGACTAGGTGGGACCATGCAAATAGGGGTATGGGACTCTAACGTGGGGATTGGCTAGTTTCCCCATCCCTCTAATTTAAAAGGAGCTATCTCAGGAGAAGAGACAGACAATCCCAGGACCATCAACAAAGAGGATCCACAAGCAAAGCGAGAGATCCGTATGTAGAAAAGCAGCAGCAATGGCAATCGAAAATACTGATTCCTATGATAAGGAAGTCAGGCATGCCTTCAATCTACAACTTTCTTTACCCTATGCTGATACCAACTCTACTTCTCAGTTGGGTTCAATAATCCATTGCAGTGGCCACACCTAACTCATAGACAACATTCATGCCTATAGGACTTATTAGGGAAGTTGTTGTTGTTGTTATGTGTCGTGGAGTCGGTTCCGACTCATAGCGACCCTTTACAGGGTTTCCAAGGCTGTAAATCTTTACGCGTGCAGAAAGCCTCATCTTTCTCCTGCAGAGCAGCAGGTAGTTTCAAACTGCTGACCTTGCGGTTTGCAGCCTGATTCGTAACCACTATGCTACCAGAGCTCCTTTAACAGGGTAATATTCAGGATAAGAAACAAATCAGAATACAGCGGCTTTTCAGTCAGCAGCACCTCTTCTCAGTCATACCATCGACACTCCTCTCTCCGGTTCATGGCACTGCAGATAAATGCACCTCACCTAGACCATGGTATTTTCGATTGCCTCATATGCATATGAAAGCTGGACAATGAACAAAACAGACTGTAGAAGAGTTGATACGTTTGGATTATGGTGTTGAAGAATATTAAAAGTACCACGGACTGCCAGAAGAGCAAACAAATCTGTCTTGAAAGAAGTATAGCCAGAATGTTCCTTAGAAGTGAGGATGGGGAGACTTTGTCTCACATACTCTATGGGTTGGAACCGACTCAACGGCACTTAACAACAACAATCAGGAAGAACCAGTCCCTGGAAAAGGCTGCAACAATGGCCTTAAATACAATGACTATGAAAATGGCACAAAACTGGGGGCAGTGTTTAATTCTTTTGTACATAGGATCACTATGAGTTGTAACTTATTCAATGGCACCTAATGATAAATAATTATAGATATTATAAAGAAATATGGAGTAAGGTTGTGAGAATGATCAAGGATGGATGTTGAAATAAAAATCCTCCTCTACAAAGTCCTGTGTGGTGCTGTAGGATAAGCACTGGACTGTTAACTGTGAGGTCAGTGGTCCAAAGCTACAAGCTGCTCCTAGGAAACCCTATACAGGGTTGTTATGAGTCTGAACTAACTCGACAGCACTTAACAACAAAAAATCCCATCATTTCCTTACTCAAGATCCTCTAACTGCATTACTCATAATAAAAATCCAAGCTTTATTATGGTCTACAAGATCCTACCTGTTCTGGTTTTTGCTCATTTCTCCAGTTTCCATGATCACTAAACATCATCATTCTACTACAGCACAATGGGCTTTTTGCCATTTCTTCAGCTGCCAGTCTCCTATCTACCTAAGGGTATTCACTCTCAAGGTTTGCTTTGCCTGAAGTGTTCTTGTCCAGGTCTTTGCATGGCTTATATTTTTCCATCTAGGTCCTTGCTTTATGTCATTTCCTTGTTGTTGTTAAGTGCAGGCAAATTGGTTTCCACTCATAGCAATGCTGTATAGGGTTTTCCAAGGAGCAGTTGGTGGGCTGACAACAGCAAGATGGTATCAATCCAATAACTTTTTTCCCAGAATAGAGCTTTGTTTTCTGACACTATCTCTGTTGTTGTTGTTGTTAAGTACCATCAAGTCAGTTCTGACTCATAGCAACCTGGTATAGGGTTTCCAAGGAGCAGCTGATGGGTTTGAACCACCAACCTTGTGGTTCAAACTGATCTTGTGGTCCAGCGTTTATCCTACAGCACCACACCAGGACACTATCTCTAGTCATGAGAAAAGAACTTATTTTCCATTGTTCATCATATGTTGTTGGCCTCCTTTATACAAATCCTTGCTGTATGAATGTGTGCTTGGAATATGAAGTATTTTATTATTTTTTTAATAGCAAATGAAAAATCAAAATAAACGATTATGAAGATAAATTACTTCATGATCACACTTTAGAACTATACCCTCCAGTAGAGTAGACTCTTTAGAGCTGACTGTTGTAGGTACAAACAGCATTGCTTCCTAAATTATAATGAAAGCTATTGTCTTGAAGTCAGAAGCTATAGAAATCTCAATGCCCTTTTGCAAATGCTACCTTATTTTTATAAAATCAAAGAAATATACTCAAACCAATATTATATGAAGGTTATCAATACAAAACTAATCAGAAAAAGCTGACTTTAAAATAGTATACTGCTAATTAGAGAGTTCTAACAAAAAAAGCACCACTGCCCAAGTGGATTCCATTGCATATGACTCCTAAAGGACAGAACAGATCTACTGTTAGGGTTTCCAAAGCTGTGATTTTTATTGAAGCAGACTACTACATCTTTCTCCTGAGGAGTGACTCTGAGTTCAAACCTTCAACCTTTCAGTTTGAGCTGAGTGTTACCACTGAACCACTAGGGCTCCTTTCTAGAGTCTTCTAGTGGCTTTTAATAGTGCCATGAAGACCGAGGTCAAAGGAAAAAGTGAGAAACAATTGCATATACATTCCAAGTTGATTAAAGTAAACAAACAGATGGAACACCAAATCAAATTTCACATTACCTTAAGAATTTTAGGAACAGTTATTTTTAATTAAAAAATAAAAATAAAAATTTTAAACCCTGCTACACACTGGCTATGTAAATCACCAAACTTTGACAGTACTGGAGGTTCAAGGGAAGATAAAATGCAATATTTAAGCTGCTAGTACTGCAAGTCCAGAGAGCTACCCACCCACCCACCCACCCAAAAAAAAATATGATTGATGAAACCAGATACCCCAAAAGTAATGAATGAAGACTCATTTCACGTAATTACTCTGCTTATGAGTTTTATTTACACAACAATTGTTACTAGTGGTTTTAATGAATTCCTTGTATTTACATTTTATATACACATTTATACTTGAAAGGTAAAGAAACTGTACAATAATAAAAATAAGAAAAAGAAATATAGTAACTTAGGTCCAACTTAGAAAACAAATACACAAAAGTAAGATTCAACTGAGGCATGTAGCACAACCTCAGAGAGATTCTTGTCAGGAGTTACACTCCCTCTAGCAGGGTCATCAAGACCAAGGAAGCAGCTACCAGAGCTAAATGTTATCCCAAATCTAATAAGACCCTGGATTATTTCCTCAATATTTTATTACACTACTGGTTTCCACTAAACAAGTCCCTATAACACTAGTTAATTTCTGAGGGTCCCACTGGTAATCCCTAGACTAAAATAGCCCAGGGAGTAAAAACACATGGGCACACTCTGGTCCCACAGTCCTAAAGAGGCAGTCACTACACTAACAAAGATTTCAGGATTGTTAGTATGGAGACTATATACCACTAACAAATAGTGTACTTAAATGTTGTTTCAAATGAAGCGCAACATGAAAATACACTATAAATCTAATTATTTACCAAACAGCATATTATAAAGATATCGCTCATAATATTCAAGTGACTTATTTTAGGTGCAAAAATTAAATACATGTATTATTATAATAAATTTAATGCCAATTTCCCAATGATTAATAATTTATTCATCTACAATACCATCCAAGTTAGACTTACTAGAAAAAGGTAATTTTATCTTTTTTCGTTTACTCTTATTTCCACTGATTAGAAAATTATGCACAATGTTTTACAAGTCAGGAATTGACTACATATTAAGATTTCAAATTTCAAACTGGAAATAAATTTGTTTTTAAATACAGTGAAGAAATTTTAACCAAAAAAAAATTAAAGTCTTACCAAGTAGGATGATACTTAGAGAACTCTTAGAACTCATTAATTTTTAATCTTACCAGTGAAAAACCTCATTTATATTTATGGACTAACTCCCAAAGTCAAGTCTTAAGTCCAGTAAAGTGCAAAGAATTGTCTTTCTACCAGTTATTTAGTTTTTCTAGTGTAAAATAACTAGATGAACAATCTCTTGGACTAGAAACAGAAAGGCTAAAATTCTTTGAGTGACAAGAATTCCTTAATGGATAGAAACAATTTCTTCAAAAACAAAGATACAATACTGTGTAAAAATACCTCAATGAATGTTAAACAATCTTCTACCAATATTTTGTATTTTCAGTCCCAGATACCTAAACTTACTCCAACTGGTAACTGAAGCTGAGTGACTGTGACTAAAATAATCTGTAACAAAATTGTTTATTCTTGGTCTGTATTTTCATCAGGTCAAAACTGGAGATAATATCTGCAGTAACGTGTTTATTTCAAATAGTATTTGGAAGTTTAAGTAGTATTTAACAATCCCGCTCTGACTTCCAACAATGCCTTTGTGGTAAGCATTAAAAAAGAAAAGATGTTGTAAAAAGTTGAAGCATTTCCAAAACTATTTAAAAAATTTATTGCATTAAATTGTTCAGTCTGAATTATGGCATATGAACTGTCTAGTTAAACTTCTTCTTTTGTAAAATGGCTCCTCCTACAAAATACATTTTAATAATACTGTCAATAAGCATTTCATTACTTTAGTCATGGAATTCAAAATATGCAATTTTCCATCTCTTGATTCTTTTGGATTTTTCCAAAAATTTCCTACATGCTTTTTACATAGGAAACAAAAATATTTTAACAAAAAAGCTTTTTAATATTTCACTTTGTTTTTTTAATTTTTGAAGATTAGCTTTTCAGAGCAGGACTATTGTTCTTGTCTCCTTCTTTGATATCCTTCATTACAGACGCAAAGACCTGGAAGTTACATAAAATAAAGATTAATCCTCAAAATACCACTCAGATTGAACTATAGTTTACCACAAAGAGTTTAGTAGCATAGTGATTATTGTATCAGGTTGCAAACCTCAAAACTTTTACCAGCTGTTCCATGGGAGAAAGATGAGGCATTCTGCTCCCTTAAAGATTTACAGCCTCAGAAACCTGGTACAGGGTTGCTATGAGTCAGAACCGACTCCACGGCACATAACTATCATCATCATAATTTACCACAGGGCCACTGAGGAAGAAAGACTTGAAGATCTGTTCCTGTAAAGATTACAGCCTAGAAAACCCTATGGGGCATTATCATGTAGAGTTTCTATGGGTCAACCTTGGCTCTACAGCACCTATTATCAACAACATAGGTGCGAAATATATTTCACCCTGTCTCCTGAGAAATTGCCATTCTTAAATTCCCTTGTATTTTTAATAATAATTTTATGGAATATGATTAAAGTCTAGTTTTCATCACTTGCTAAATATTCTGAAGCTACTCTTTGGTTACAGAACATTTTCAGGAACAATATTTCTACATTTCACTTTCATAAGCAACTGACATATGAATTTAAAATATGTATTGTCTGTATCGCCCATGGAGGATGTGAGAATACTCTTTTATGTCACTTAACTTAGACTACTAGTATGTTTGTTTCCCTAACAAAGCTACGCATTTAAAAAGCCAGAATTACACATTATATTCTTTCTACTAAAAACTCTGTACATGTTGTTAGCTGCCATCAAGTCAACCTCTGGCTCATGACAACCCCACAAGTAAACGCGGTTCAGTGTGTGTGTTATCTCAGGATCAGCTGCGATCCAACAGGCTGAGTATTGGTTGTTTCCTAGTCTCTACCTTAGTCTGGAAATTATGTTGAAATCTGTTCAAAATCTAGCTACAGAGAAGCCTCCAGTGGCAAACATGCAGTGAGTGTGACTGAGCTGAGTCATCAGCACTGAATCTAGGTCTCCAGCATAAACAGCAAGAATTTCACCCCTGAGGCACCACGCCCTCAGCCTTTGTCTACATAGTTGTTGTGAAGTGCCTTCCAGTAGGTTCCAGTTCACAGCAAGCCTGTATAGGGCTTCCGAGGAGCAGCTGGTGAGCTTGAACCACTGACTTTACAGTTCAAACAGCTTTGCAGTCTGGCACATTAATCTACAACACCACATCAGGACTCCCCCCACCTTTGTATATAGCAGATGTTTAAAAAAATTGTTCTCTATTTGAAATACCACAGTAATGACATAATTGTTCTGGGAAATACATGGCTCTTGAGGGCTGTACTTCATTAAACTCATAAATAGTTAACTTACATAAAAATAAAGCAAACATACATAAAATTTACATAAAAATGCAACCACTGGTTTGGAAAGGTGGCAAAAAAGGGGGGAGGGAGGCACTGAGGTCAACGTTTTAAATTCAAAAGATAAAATTATTTTAAAAATACATGTATACTTTAACATTATTTTATTCACTTTAAACGTAAATACTAACAGTTAAGATATACACAGCTGTTTTTAAAAGACAGTTGATCATTTTAATTCTATTAGAAGCAGGAAAGTGTTACCCTACCTGAGTCCATCTTTTGGTACTATTCTGCATCTGGATAGCTGCAATACAGCTGAACAGCTTTTCTGATGTGATATCTTCTGGCAATTTAGTGAGAAACTGTGCTATATGAATAAAGTCCATCTGTAGGAGAATATCTTCATATAATCGAAGGATTCCTAATCCAGTCCTAAATAAAAATTCCTCTCCGTCTCTGCAAAATACATCCCAGACTCGACAGGCCAGATCAAGTGGTAGTGATTTGCTATACAATGTGAAGATCCTAAAATTACAGAGAAAAATAGTCAATGGAAATGCTCATTCATTTTTTCATTTATTCACTAAGAGTCTCTATGAATATAGTCTTTACACAGGAAAAAAAAAAGGCAAATAAGATAGGGCTCCTTCCATCAATGAATTTAAGTAGTGGGAAATTAAAGAATAAAATTATGTGATTTAGGACTTTATGGCTAATCCACCTGAGTGGCAGAAAAGCCTGGTGGTGAAAGGTGTAGGCTGAGAAACCTTAATGGGTTTGAAGCTTGGACTTATTACTTTGTGTTACTTTGAACAAGTCATTTACTCTTGCTTTGCCTCAGTTTCCTCTTTAATAAAATAAGGATAATAATACTACTGACCTCTCTGGATTGTTTTGAAAATGAAAAGAGTTAATTAATGTATAGTGCTTAAAACAGTGCCTGGCACAAAAGAAGTGCTCAATAAGAGCCACTTATTATTTTTATTAATAAGGAACCCATGTGTTACCTTTTAGTACCTAACAGAAATTCATAAAGTCTTCCTCTTCTCAGTCCACAAATATCCATTGCATTTTCTCTCCACCAAGCTTTACTTACTACTTCATTAGGAACAGAATCTCTAAAATAGTTTCTACCATCCCTCTGACAAAGTCTGATCATGTGATTCTTTATTCAGTGGTGCTTTTGGGTGGCATTTTTGTTGAGGTGGAGTGCTAGAAGACTTGTCTTGAAGTTGCATTGGCAAAGAAAGTTTTTTGTTTTGTTTTTTAATTTAGAAAGTATGTTTATTTGAGGTAGTGCTGATAGAACTTAAGAGAAAAACTAAAGACTTCTGTTCCCAACATTCCCTTACTCATTCCTCTGTTTCCTTGCTTATATGACTCTGGGATCTGTATATAATCAGCTCAAATGAATCAATGAATCAAAAACCATGTCTACTTCTTAAATTATAAATTCTTGGTAGAACCTGAACTCACTGCACAAACAAGATAGGGCATGAGCAGAGCTTATTCACAGTTCCGAGTATACAACAGTCATCCATTCTGACTTTCCTCAAGCTCCCTATACCAATCTTCATTCTAGTATGTCCCATATTATTCCTAGAAACTGACAATTGAGGATTTTTGGCTTTGTTTGTTATTTCACAGAATCAGAATTTGATCTTGGTTCTCTGGGCCCATGATGTAAAAAATCTTACTTATGCCCACTGTCATGGGTCCTTGCCAGAGGAACTCTAATGAGCCTAGTGGTAATACAAGAGAATACAATGAAAAATAACTTAGTTTTGTTTGTTTGTTTTTAAATATAAATAAAAGAAGCCCAATGCAACTGAGAAGACATCATGTTTTATCATTGCCATTATTCATCCATGTTTCTATATGAAAGCTTAATGTCATTTACATGAAAACATTGGTTTTTAAAGTTTAAATATTCCATATGTATTCTTAACCTAATGACGTATTGCATTAGGCAAATCTTCTGCACAAGACCTTTTTAAAGTGTTGAAGAGCAAATATGTCACCTTGAGGGCTAAGGTGCACCTGACCCAAGCCATGGTATTTTCAATAACTGCATGTGAATGTGAAAGTTGGATACTGAATAAGGAAGACCACAGAAGAATTGACACATTTGAATTATAGTGTTGGAGGAGAATATTGAAAGTACCATGACTTCCAAAAGAACCAATAGATCTGTGTTGGAAGAAGTACAGCCAGAGTGCTCCTTGGGGGCCACGATGGCCAGACTTCATCTCTCTCATCTTAGGACATATTGTCAGGAGGGACCAGTCGCTGGAGAAGGATATCATGTTTGGTAAGGTGGTGAGGGTCAGAGAAAAAGAGGAAGACCCACAATGAGATGGATTGGCAAAGTGGCAGCATCAAAGGGCTCAGCATGGCAGCAATTGTGAGGTTGGCCCAGGGCCGGGCAGTGTTTTGTTCTGTTGTACATAGGGTTATGAGTTGGTACCGACTTGATAGCACCTAACAACAACAATTATTAACCTGTTTTAAGATCAACTGCTACATTTCTCTTGCAAAATTCACCCCTATTACTAACAGGAAAAATAAAAAACAATAATAGCAGTCCAACTGACTACTACAAGAACAAGCAAGTTGCTCAGCCAGGAGACATCAAGGCAAGTGGTCAGGTCCCCTCAGGGAAAACCCCCTTTCAAGACTAAGACTCAAGGGGAATACACGAGCAAGCATGTGCTCAGATGGGTGACCGATAAGGGGAAATGAGGGGAAAACAGCAATGAAGCTATGAGCTAAGTCTGACCATGTTCAATAGACTCCTGTGAATCCGGGTGGAATCTCCACTGAGTAGTATCCAATCTGTCTGGGCGGGCTGATGAAAGGAGATGCAAATAGATCTCTTGTGGTACAATAGTGAATAACTGCTATCAGGACTTACTGTGAGGGCTGGAAATGTAAAGGTAGACATTTTGTAGCAAAAGAAGGGGAGTGGCTGATGTTACCATCCAGGAGTGGAGGTCCCTGGGACCATCAAGGGAGAAGAGCAGAGTGCGGGACCCTACCCAGAGAAACAGTAATGCCAGAGATGGAGACAGAGACAATGACATGAAGAGATGGAGCGGCTGGGGACTCTAAACCCAGAGAGGGAGAGGGTCTATGTGCTGAGGACTGGGAGGAGGCTTGCAGGGTATACCCTTTGGTTGTTTGATGATACATGGAGAGGGTTGTAACCATGGAAATGAAAGGATACACGACAGGATGACTGTAAAGCTAATGTTCTCCCATGTAAACTATCACATAATTCACAATAAAAACTTAAAAAATTCACCCCGATTTTATAATCAACTGACTATTGCTGGTCCCAGTACTTAGGCAAGTACTATAAGTTAATACAAAAAAGCTGACATTAAAAAGATCAAAAAAGACATCAGAACTAAATAAGCCATCATCCATCTGTCAGAAAGCTGGATAAAGCCTTGAAATAAACAAAGCCCTCTGAAAAGAAACACCATAAAAATCATCATAGGCCCTTGTGTATTAGGAATAGCAAAAGAATAGTAACTAACTCTTGGTAAGATTTTTAGCATGCACAAGGCACTAAATGAGATAATCCATATAACACATTTACTGAAACTCAAAATATAGTTATTATTTCCATTTTATAAATAGGAAACTGAAACACAAACCGAGAGATTCTCACTACAATCCAGAGTCCATGCTCTTAATCAAATGCTCTAAAAACCACAACTCAACTAAAATTTCTGTTTGTGAGGGAAAGATATTCTAAATGCATTATTCTGTGCATGAGATTTACTTTTGTTGCTAAAAACACATAGAAATCTATATTTTATTTCCTTTTAATATATGTCATGACTTACCAATCAATCAAGTATATGTCTGGTGTAAGACTGTAAGACTTGAAATGAAGAAACAGTTTAGAGAGATTTTCTTCAAAGAACACTTCAAATGTTGCAAAATATTTCAACATCTATAGGAAAAAATATCAATGAAATTATTAGAGCACACTCTAGAAATATAAAAATTAAATCCTCAGGCGAACATTAACAGAAAATTTTGTTTAACACCTATTTCTGAATCTTCTCATGAGGCATTCATAAAGCTATAAATCAATGAAAAGTTCACAATAGACCAGATTTTCTTAGTCTCCAAATTATTTTCATTCTAAAGTGAGTTCAGACTACAGACATCTACAATCAAGGAAAAATAAGATTCATTCCAAATGTCCATACCATGCTGTGATCCACACGGAAAAAGGCCAGTTGGCAGGGCTTATTGAGGAGATTTGCGAAGGCAATGAAGGCCTCAGCCTCTTCTAGATTCAGAATGAGTACCGCTGCAATGAAGGACATTCCCTGGACCTTCAAAAGGAAAATAAATGAATCAAAATGTGCTTACAATAAAAATGCAATGCAGTTTATTTTCTTGTACTACTGAAATATTTAATTCTACATTTACAAAGTAGAATTAAACAAGATTTATTTTTCCTTCCCAACAAAGGTAAAAATAGAAAATCTATTAGTAAGTACAAAATGTCTCTAATTTTACATTCTAGTCTCTGTTATGGATTTAAAAAGTATCAGGGAAAATTTTTGGAAAAAATCAGCTTTTACTTGCTACAAAATCCTATCTCAGAGTAATATGGTTTAGTTTTCACAATTTTCCAATCTGAATTCTACCAAAACAGAGTTCAGAATCACAAAGTTTAGTCAAAATCAGGTGATTGTGTTCACAATTACAACACATCTGTTTGACATGGAAAGTGAAGAACTAAGAAGAAGGGAGAACTATGGGAAGTGCTGCTAAAATCCCCAATTGGAAGAAATTGTATCGGTTTAAAGAATAAGGCTGGATTCCAGAAAAAGCAGGAGGTAGAAATAAAGAAAAACCAGTTCAAGATTGGAAAGAAACATGACCAAGACACAGAAATGGGAACAATAGACCAGGCTAGTTGGAGCACAAACTTTATAAGGGAAATAATGTGAGAAATTTGAAAAAGTTGGAAATATTTATAAATCGTGAAAGGCCTTGTATAAAAGGCTAAGATATATGGATGTTTGCTTCTGGAAAGGTAATTTACATTTCTGAGCAAAGAAATGAAACAAAAGTGTTCAATGAACATTCATTCTTTAAAACAACAACAAAATAAAAACTTTTATTGTGAATTGAGTGATAGTTTACATGGGAGATCACTGGCATTGCACTCATCCAATCGTATTTTGTTTCATTGCAATGATTACAATCCCCTCAATGCATCATCATTCAACAGTATTTGCTTCTTATTCCCTCTGTTTGTTTTTTGAGGGGGTTGTTGTTGTTGTTGTTAAGTGCCATCAGGTCAGTTCTGACCCATAGCGACCCTGTACAGGGTTTCCGAGGGTGTAAATCTTTACGGGAGTAGAAAGCCTCATCTTTCTCCCGCGGCGCGGCTGGTAGTTTTGAACTGCTGGCCTTAAGGTTCGCAACCCGATTCGTAACCACTACGCTACTAGAGACTGTACACAAAAACACTCAGGAATATATAATCATTTAAACAATTCAAGGGCACATTCTGCAAGGCTGCCTCCTGGCCTATAGCACTCAGTCTTTCTCTTTCCATGAGTCTAGAGTCCTCAGCTGTTCTGTATCTCCATATCATCAACTCTGCCTCCATCTCTGGTGTCACTATTTCTCTGCCTCCCACATTAGGGTAGGGTTCCACATTCCACTCATGCTCTTCTCCCTTAATGGTTGTTGGGTTCTCTGTTCCTGGAATGTAAGATTAACTACTCCTACTTCTACCTTTACAGTTGTGACAGTCACAATTAGTCATGATAACAATTACTCACTACTGAATCAAAAGAATCCTACCCCATCTTCTTTCACCAGACCCATCTAGACAAGATGAGCCCTATTCAGTGGGGCTTCTACCTTCCCCTGGACAGTCTGAAATGAAATTCCCTCTTGAAAATTTGTAAGCCAGCCACTTTGTGCCTTTATAGCCACTGCCCTATTTTAGGTAGCAATATCTAAGTTGCTCGTCCCTATCAACCCTGTATACAGAGGGGATATATTTGATCCCTAAGAACATTAATTCTTTTACAAAAAAATATATACACACACATACACACATATAGTAACAATTACTTCTGGTAGAGATTTTATATATTGGATTCTTTCCAGCCAAATGTTCTAAAGAGTTGCCTACAATCACTATGTCTTTTTTGTTGTTGTTGTTGCTACATCCCAAACATCTTTATTTCACATCTGTTATGCCATGAATCCATAGGAAATAGGTTCCAATAGCTCAGCCTCCTTTCCACTGGTTATCACAGAGCTTGCCTCTCTGCAGGGAGCACACTGGCAAGTCAGTTGAACCCAGGTACCTTTGTCTTTGGCTTCTGTCTGTTTCTGATCATTTTCTTTCACACATTTCAGGAAGCTATCTCAGTTCTTAGAGTGGTTAATATGCTCAATACATACATTCATTCTCTTGGCAAGAATCTTGCCCTTAACTTGTTTGCTCATAACAATGCCAATAGCATGCTGGTCGCATTGTAGACTTTTCCAGTTTTACTGTGGTAACAGTTGTGAGGCACTCCTTTTAGAACCTGCCTATACCCCCCTTTGATTGCATAATACCACCTTTCTTGTAGATTCACATGCATGTATGTAGACCCATATGTATGTGGCCAAAGGAACAATTCCATGTTAATAAAAGGCCTGGAGAATACAGAGCAGGTAACTTGCCTCTTTCCCTTTGTGCTCGTCATTTTGGCAGATTACTGCAAAATGGCGATTCCAGTGAAAGAACCATGTCTTATTTTTCTCAACTCCCATTTCACTCTAATTGAAAGGTTGGAAGTTTGAACCCACCCAGTCACACCATGAAAGAAACACCTGAAAGTCTGCTTCCATAAAGATTATTTGTTGTTAAGTGCTGTGGAGTCAGTTCCAACTCATAGCGACCCTGTATAGGGTTTTCAAGGAGCACCTGATGGGTTTGAACCGCCAACCTTGTGATTAGCATTCCAGGGTTTATCCTACAGTGTCATTCCAGGACTCCCCATAAAGATTATGTTCTTGTTGTTGTTAAGTGCCATTGAGTGGGTTCTGACTCATAGCAACCTGGTATAGGGTTTCCAAGGAGTAGCCAGTGACAAGAAAACCCGTTGGAGTAGTTCTATGCTGTAACACATGGGGTTGTCATCAGTCTAACTCAACTCTACAACTTGTTTGGTTTTGATTTTTTTTTTTCTCTTTAGCACACTGCAGTTCATCACTGTCTTGAAACTTCTCTTGCCAAGATCATCGATCATACTCGGTGCAAAGACCAATGAATGGTTCATTGCAACCTTTTTAGCAGAATCCCTTAGTTTCTGTGATCCAACATCTCTTAGTTTACCTTCCACTTCTCTAGCTTCTTCTGAGTACTCTTTGCAGATTCTACAGTAACTGCCTATTTGATTTTCTAGGACAGAAACTCCACTAGGACAGAGACTCTGGTAGGCAGGATGTCTCCCTCTCTCAAAGATGACGTCTACATCCTCATCCCCAACACATTGCTTACATGGCAAAACGTGGTTATTTTTGCCATGTAATAAAACCGATTTGCAGATGTGATTAAGCTAAGGATACTGAGATAAAGAGATTATCCAGGATTATCTGGGTATACATCTTCCATAGTATTTCTTTTTTGGGAGCAAAGTGGGGTAAGCACTGGACTGGCTAACCACAAGGTTGGCAGCTGGAGCCCACCAGTCAATACATGGGAGAAAGATGAGACTTTCTGCTCTCTTAAATATTTGCAGGTTTGGAAACCCTATACAGGGTCACTGTGAGTCAGAACTGATGGCACTTAACAACAACAACATACCTTCTTTGAAAGAGCCCTGGTGGCACAGTGGGTTAAACACAGAGCTATGAACTAAAAGGTTGGTGGTTCGAACCCACCATGCAAGGAAGTTGAGGCAGTCTGCTTCTGTAAGGATTTACAGCCTCGGACACTCTATGGAGCAGGTCTACTTTGTCTTACAGACTCACTAGATATCAGAATGGAGTTGATGGCAGTGCATTTGCTTTGGGGATCTCCTTTTAATATAATTTGTGATTTACTAATTTATTATGTTTGTTGTTTATTGTGTGTATTCTTCTTCTAAACTGTGAGCACCATAAGGGGAGAAATGTTTCTTTAGTTTACTGAGGCATCCCAAGTGCTTAGAAAAATGTCTGACTATACTAGGGGGCTTCAATAAGTTAATGGAAAATATAAAATTTTCCCACAAACCTTTTGAAGCTTCCTCATATAGTAATAAGTACACACTAAATATTTGTTGGGAACATGAAGAAATGAAAGTACATGCAACAGAACAAACTGAGTGCCAGTCAACCTACAGTAAGCTCTCTAAATTCTCTGTATTTTACAGTAAAAGTGAAAAGATGAAGGTTTGGGCACTGCAGGATAAGCACTAGACCACAAGGTCAATTAGGACCACAAGGCAGTGCTTCAAACCTACCAATCACTCCCTACAACAAGTCCACTTTGAGTTGGAACTGACTTGTCGGCATTTAAGAACAACACAATAGTTAAACACAGCAAATTAAACCACAGTTTTCTTTAACTGCCCTCCCAACTAACCCAACTAAAATGACAGTAAAGAAAATATAAATAGTAACCTAGAAGGACAAAGAAAATGGAAAAGAGATAAAGCAATACATAAAAGATGTCAACAGCATTTTAAAAAATTTAACCTAAAGTAGAAGATTTTGAAACTAAAGTATCTACAGAGGAGGAAACCAATAAGCACCAAGCCAGTTGCAGCCACAACACTCTGGAAGGAGTAGAAGCTATCTCTAAAGTTGAGGAAAGGGGGCTATCTATAAACAAGAAGTCTGTCAGAGGAAATCCCCTTCCTATCATGTCTGGGAAGGTACCCGTCTTTCCCTCACCCTGGTAAACCATAAGAGACACTGTTATCTAGAGGCACAGTTAAGGAAAGGGAAGTTTGAAACAGGGGGATAGTATAGCACCCAGAGAAAAGGAGCAGTAAGTAAAAGTTTACAAATTGAATTGTGAAATTTCCAGTTGCCTTCCAAAAAGCTCGCAGTCAATCTGTCAGTTTGTCTTCCTGTGGTGGCTTGCGTGGTGCTGTGATGCTGGAAGTTATGCCCCGATATTTTAAATACCAGCAGAGTCACCCATGGTAGGGAGGTTTTAGCTGAGTTTCCAGCTAAAACAAGTTAGAAAGAAGGAGAGGTGAACTACTTCTGAATGTTTAGCCACTGAAAACTTTATGAATAACAGTGGAATACTATCATATAGCACTAGAATATAAAATACTAAAACATTATGAATAGCACCAAAATATTGTCAGATACAGTG